AGAAAATCTCTATCATGTTAGAGAATACATATGGTGCCAGCAACAGAATGTTGCTGGAAATGTGAAGCATAAATTTTGGTGATGCTTTAAAAGAAAATGATGAACATGTAAAGAAAGGGCAATGGAGGAAGGTGATGCTTTTTATGCAGTGCCAGAGAATGTGTCTGAATCCTGTTCAAATGTTTGGTGGAAGGGAGAACTTGTAAGTGATGAACTTGCGTATCTGGCTGATGAGATTTCTAAGTAAGATCTTAAGGGGGTCACATGGTTTCTCCTTGCCACTTATAGTAAAATGCAAGAGGAAAGACATGGACTTAAAAATGAACTGTGCAAAATGAAAACAAAACTCAGATTTGGAAAATTCTGTTGTACAAACTAAGGACACGTCTTAGAATGTTCAAGGACATGGCTACACACAATGTTTTGTTAAAGAGATTTGAGAGATTAACAAAGTGAGCAAAGCAGAAATGAGGGAGGAGAGAAAGCAAGCTACGTGAAGGTCTCCTAGGAGCACAAGCTCCAAGAGACAAGTACCTTCCTCCAGAGCCAATGGATGCATCTAACTAACTACCACAGCAAAAAAACTATCAGCTTAGACTGAAGGGGACAGAGAAAGAAGGAAAGAGTGCTGTCTGCCTCTTGGTATTCTGAAGGCAGGAAACAAGCCAAAGGGCTACATCTCTTGTCCTCCGAGAAAGGAAAAGGACCATTTCTGAAGCAGCTCAGAGATCAGAATTGCTGGAAGGAGTAAGGGAAGCAAGGCTTTCTCAGTATCAAAGGGTGGGGCCATAGCTTCCTAGGTTTCAAAGACACAGATCTTCAACAACTTGGGTCCAGAGTGTGGGGCTGCCGTTCATCAGTGCCAGGGGCATGGGGCTGCTGCCCAAAGCTGAGGGGGTGGGGCTGCCATGCCCAAGGGTAGAACTGGGTCTGCTGGGGCTGAGAGGATGGAGTTGCCACTCAGATGGACTAATAGAATGGGGCTTCTCAAAGCCAAGGGAATAGAGTTGCTGTCCCAGTGGGCCTGGACATCCAGAATCCAGAGGGCGTGGCTAACACCTATAGCCTGGAGAGCTGGACCATTGCCCAGATGGTCTCAGGGGATTATTTCTAAGATTTCAGAGCTAATATAAATTGTTTCATTGGGTTTTAGACTTGCTTGATGCCAATTATCCCTTCTTTCCCTCAAAATTCCCTCATTTATAGTAGAACTGTCTACCTTGTGCCTGTTCCATCATTGCACTTTGGAAGCAAGTAACTTGTATTCTACATTTCACAGGTTCATAAATTTCGTGATGGAATATGGACTTGGAGCTGATTTAAGACTTTTGGGATGATGGGGTGAATGTGTTTTGCATGTGTCAAGGACATGACTTTCTGGGGGCTGTGTTAGACTGGGTTCTCTAGAGAAACAAAAACCAGCAAAGCATATATATATATATATATATATATATATATATATATATATATAAAGAGAGAGAGAAATTTATCTTAGGAAAATGGCTCACAAACGTATAGAAGCCAGCAAGTCCAAAGTCCTTGGAGGAAACATTGGGCTGGAGGCAGACTTAGCTTCCGCAACCGCAGGGGGCCGAGAAGCTCAAGGCTGGCAGGCAGTACACTCGCTGTTGACTCCAACGAAAGATGAACCCAAGATCTCCAGGCAAATGGTGGGCTGCTCACTCACGGAAGGTTGTAGGCAGCACAACAGAATCCCGATCCACAGAAGAATGTCTCTCTTCCCAGGATGTCCCTGGATATCCTGGAAGCAGGCCACACCCCCAGGGAAACTCCCCTTGGGCAGATTGGCCACTCAGAACACAGTCATCTGATCCCATCATGGGAACAACTACACATAACTGGGGTCCAGCCAAGTTGACACACAGCTCCAACCATCACAGGGGCCAAAGGGTGGACTGAATTATGTCCCCCCAAAATGTGTGTTGAAATCCTAACCTCTATGCTTGTGGTTATAATCTCATTTGGGAATAGGTTTGCTTTTGTTGTATTAATGAAGCAGGATTAGTGTAGGTTGTATATTGGATTAATGTCTTTCTTTGTAATTGTGCTTTGGGTGTAAATTTACAGAGCAAATTTGTTTTACATTCAACAGTTTGTGTACATTTGATTTCACAGCCCGATTACCATCCCTGACCATGACAAACTTTCTTCCCCTCCCATCCCTGTGACTACCCCCTCCCTGTGCCATTTTTAACTATGCAATCCTCTCTGTCCAGCTTTCCCTGTATGTGAATGCTGCCCTCTGGTGCCTCATGACTGATTGCTCTATGGGGTATATCTCCCTACAGTAGATGGGTGCTTCGCCCTGGGGTAGGTCTTCTGCATGGAGGTCTTTCTCCTGTTGGGCTGAGAGCCAATTCATGGGAGTGAGTCCAATTCTAGGCCTGAAGGGTAACCCAGAGCCATAGTCTTAGAGGTTCCACTAGACTATCTGACCAGTAATTCTGGTCATTTTTGTTTTTGGATTTTGTTCCACATTTTCCCTCCCACTCTATCCAGGATCTCCAGTTTTGATCCTTTTCCGAGTGGTTGGCCTTGGTAACTGGGCACCATATAGCTCATATAGTATCTGGATCATGAAGGCAGAGGTCCTCACAGTCCATCTTATCCTTGGATTAATTGTGTCCAGATGTCTTTGATTTTCTTCACTCTTCTTCGATTCAGATGAGAAGACCCATAGTTGCAGCTTAGATGGCTGCTCAAAAGCTTTTAAGACCTCAGTTCCTACTTACCAAAGTAGGTTGTGGAACAAGATTTCTATGTACTCTGTTGTGCCAATTGAGCATGATGTTTGGGTCAATTTCTTTTGAGATAGATTAAGGAAGTTAACAAAGCAAAGATGAAGGAGGAGAGATGCCAAGCCACTTGAAGGTCACCCAGAGCAGAAGCTCCAGGAGACAAGAACCTTCCTCCAAAGCCAACAGAGAGAGAAAGCCTTCCCCTAGAGTTGACACTCTGAATTCAGACTTCTAGCTCCCTCAACTGTGGGGAAATGAATTTGTTTGTTAAAGCCACCCACTTGTGGTATTTCTGTTATAGCAGCACTAGGTAACTAAGACGTTGTCTAAAGTGACTGATAACTGTCTCTTCCACTAGCTGGGAGAAACAAAATGGCAGACCAGAGACTTTTTCACCCCTACACAGGGTGAAGACAGGGTCAGGGGATTTGGATGCTTACAATGGACTTGGGAAAATCATCTGTGTTTGGCTAATAACATGAAAAAGCAATAGAACTCTGTCAGCATGTGAAGCAGACCTTTGTTTATGTATTCATCATTTGTAGTTTAACTATTCCAAAGAGACCATAATGGTCTGTGACAGGAAGTAATTTAGCAACTTGTGGAGTTCTGGACTGTACGTTATGAAGCAAAGAGAATAATTGAGTCAGTGAGTGAACATAGCTGATTCTTCAACTTCCAAATCTCATTGTGACTTTACTTCTATTTGTCCCTGTAAAGGTAGTGACTCTGATGCAGTTACATTTTTAGACTTTTATGCTTTACTAGGAGTCCTGGGTAGCAACCACTAGCCAAAAGGTTGGTAAACAAAAATGACCAGAATTACTGGTCAGATCAAAATTGGTGGGACCTCCAAGACTATGGCCCCGGGTTACCCTTCAGGCCTAGAAATGGCCTCACTTCTTGGATTGACTCTCAGCCCAAGAGTAAAAAGACCTACATGCAGAACACCGACCCCAGGGTGATGTAACCACCTACCCTAGAGAGATGAGCCCCTTAGATCAATCAACCATGAGACATCAGAGAAGTAGCATTCACATAAAGAGATACCTGGACAGACAGGAATGCATAGATAAGAAGGGCACAGGGAGGGGGTAGGCACAAGGAGGAATGGGAAGGAGAGTTTTTTATGGTTGAGGATTGTAATCGGGCTGTGAATTCAAATGTGCAGGAACTGTTGAATGTAAAACAAATCTGCTTTGTAAACAAAAGCAAACTCAGTGCAAATTTACAAAGCAGATTTGAACACTGGAGTCTACCCAGAATTCTTTTCCTTCTAAATGTTGTTGTTGTTGTTATGTGCCGTCGAGTCAAACCTGACTCATAGCGACCCCTCCTTGGGTTTCCGAGGCAGTATTACTACGGAAGTAGGATTGCCCAACCTTCCTTCCGAGGAGTGGCTGGTGGGTTTGAACCGCCAGCCCTCTGGTTAGCAGGCAAGTGTCTTATCCACTA